TTTAAGGAAGGCTCTACAGGTTGTTCAGGGTCTCACTACTAGGTTGGACTCTTAGTGATCCACCTGTCTATAGCCTCCCAAGAGCTGGGATTACAGGCATGCACCACCATGCCCAGTGAGGGGTCCGGCACAGCAGGCCTGGGGATTGAGCTCCTGGCCTCTGCACCTGCTTACAGGCACTTTAATCAGCTACTGTATTTGGCTAGCCCTTCCATTTGATGTTTTCATTTGTTAACAGAGCACAAGTTGGCCAGATCAGAAACCATATGCACAAACAAAGCAGAAATCCCAGATAAAATGTTGTAATTACAAAGCAGAGAATTATATAGTACAAAGTTTGGATTTCTCAAAGATATAACAGTGGTCTCACATATGGCAAAGAAAAACAAGCTGATACTACTGACGTCATCATTGCAGTGAGGAAAATGAGGAAAACAGTGAGGAAACAGTGATGGGGAATCCTCAAATAAATGAAGCCTGAGATGGAAACTTCCTACAAGAAAGAAAAAGGCTTACAAGATGTGTTGTTGAACTATGAACAATCTAAGTCACTTGAAATACAAAGGTTTGGTCAATGATTGTGTTTAACTCAATCCTAAAAATATATGGCATAAATACTTTGGCAGTTTACAAAGAAAATAATGAGTTTAAAAAAAGAGAGAGCTTTTACAGCAGAGAACAACCAAAATGTTTCTGCCCAGGAAATTATGCCCAAAAATTCTGTAGCACAGTGGTGAGATGAGAGGCAAACAGACAGGGGCAGCATCACAAAGACCTAGTAAGATTGTCTGATTGACAGACAATCAAAAAGATTTCAAGTGTGCCCTAAAAGAAGTTACAGGAAAGAAATATATGCTGTATTTACAACACATGATGACTGAATGAGAAAATGATCCATCCTAAAAACTGATAAATTAAGACCTACACATAAAAAAATTCCCTCATGTGCTATTTATGCCATTAGGATTCAGATGACATTTGAACACAGTCATAGAAAATTAAGGCAGTTTCTATTGTGAAAAGATAAGGAAAGGGATAAACTCCTGTTTCTGCTATAGCAACTTAGAATAAGTGAATAGTTTACCTTTGAAAACTAAAGTTAATGAAAAGTGTACAAGTAAAAATCCTGTCTTGTGTTGAGATGCAAGAATTATGTACCTTTTTTGGATAAGGCTTTGAAGTCCATGTCAAGTCCTTGATTTTGCCTTATGAATAAATGATTTCTTTGGTTGCTCAGAAATCACTAACTTTATTCTTGAAAGTTTCCTCTGAGAAACCTAGCTGCACCTCAAATTTTCTAGGAACCTTTCAAGCAAGAATTTGAACAAAGTAGATGTAGCTGTTAAAAGAACTTTTGTCTACCCACAGATGCAAAATACACACCTAATGGATTAAGTTTACAAGAATAAAGCTATACTCTTTCAGAAGACACAAGTACTTGCATGTCATTTTTAATTTTTCATTAGGCATTCATATAATAATGATATTGACTTGGAGAATTTAAAGTACTTTGAAAATATGCAGCAATATAATTTATTCTGAAATTTAGATTTGTACACAGAGGAGTAAAATATTCTATATAATATATAGTAAATACATTAACACATAAAACTGAGCATATTTGCTTAAAATATTACATAAAAAGGGCTGGGGAGATGGCTCAGTTGAATAAGCACTTGCCTGGCAAGCACAAGGGCCTGCGTTTAATCCTCAGCTCCGCAAAAAAGAAAGAAAGAAAGAAAGAAAGAAAGAAAGAAAGAAAGAAAGAAAGAAAGAAAGAAAGAAAGAAAGAAAGAAAG